GATCGCGCCTCACTTGTTCACCATTGGAACCTCAGTGTCCATACGACTAGCCCAGCCGGCCTCGCCCCATTCCCACGCCGCCAGCCTGCATTGATCCGTAAGCATTTGCCTACTTCTCTGTGTCTCTCAGTAAACCACTAGCTCCTCGAGGACGGGGACAATGACTCGTCTATTACATCCTGATGCTAGAAGGGTGGGCTGAGCCTGACAGTGGCCACCGCTCTCTCCAGCAGAGGTGGGCTCTTGAAAGCCACCTGGGAGTCTCACAGCGTCCCCGGAGCCGGAGCAGGCAGTGAGAGGCATTCTAGATGGCACTCTCGGGCTGTGTACACCTGTTCTGTCACTAGAGACTCCGAGGGAGCAAGTGCCAGGGACTTGCTGGGGCCGTGGGCTTACAGAGCCCGCATCCCATCCACACCCGGGGCACGACTTCTTCCCTCGAAGACAAGTGGGGAATGACAAGCAGCCCTTCGAAACTCTCGCTCCTGATTTAGTCTGACTCAACTTCTTAGCACTGGCAGGTCAACTTTGCAATTTGTCAGGCAAACCACAGCTCTGGGTAGAGGCTTAGCAGGTAAATCAGAGCTCAAGTGTTTTCTGCTTTGTTAAATATGTGATGGAGGAAGGGAAATAAAAGGGACTATTTAAAAAAAGATATTCAAAAGCTGTCCTCGGTAGGGTTCAGCGTCCTCTCCAACCTGGCTCCTTCTTATACCTTTTTTTTTTTTTTTTTTTTTGAGACAGAGTCTCACTTTGTTGCCCAGGCTAGAGTGAGTGCCGTGGCGTCAGCCTGGCTCACAGCAACCTCAATCTCTGGGGCTCAGCGATTCTACTGCCTCAGCCTCCCGAGTAGCTGGGACTACAGGCATGCACCACCACCATGCCCGGCTAATTTTTTGTATATATATTTTTAGTTGGTCAATTAATTTATTTCTATTTTTGGTAGAGACGGGGTCTCGCTCAGGCTGGTTTCGAACTCCTGACCTTGAGCAATCCGCCCGCCTCGGCCTCCCAAAGTGCTAGGATTACAGGCGTGAGCCACCACGCCCGGCCCCCTTTTTTTTTTCTTGGTCTGATGGGTCACCCAAGCGGGATGAAGCTGCCTCTGGGCGTTTGCATATGCTGTTCCACCTTCCTGATGAGCCCTTCCTCCTCCGCCTGGAGACCATCTCTTCCCCATTCCAGCTGCTCCTCAAAGTTTCCTCTTCCTGGAAGGCTCCCCTGATGCCCTCAGGTTAGGCCAGAGCTCCCCTAATCTCCTGGCCACTCTGTGTAATACCTGCTTTCATTTCTGTCCCTGCCACCTGGCAAGGAGGTTGCCGAGAGCAGAGATTGTGTCGTATTCGATCAATTTGTTATTTCACTGGGCTCTACTTTGACCACTCTCTTTAGAATATTGTCTCCTCTTGTCATTTTTCTCTCTGTGCCCCTCTCCAGACCCTTGTTGCATTAAATAATAATAATATTTTAAAATATTTCTCATGATAGCAACAATATATGTTCCTTATGGAATTCAATTTTTTTTCTTACATACAGAGAAGGAAAAGAAGAAAATTAAACCACTCTTAATTCACCACCACCATCCCTCCATCAAGATGGCCTTTGCTAACATTTTGGTATGTTCCTTCAGCTTTTTCCCCCACAACTAATTATTCATGTATATTTTAATAGTGTCATATGGTATATATGGTGTTGTACTGTTTTAATTTTTAGTTTGTTTTTTTTTTTTACCTACTGTCCTATTATAAATATTCTGCTCCTACTAATTTTAGTACAATGAGATCAAATCCAGATCTTTTGCTGTAAGGATGGGCCTGAAGCCGGGAGGAGGGGACCCTGGGCACGCCAGGATCGCCGTGTGCCGAGGCAATGAGAGCAGGACAGCACTGTCACCGTCTGAATCACCCCGAGCACAGCCCGTCCTTGCGCCTTTCAGCTCCGTGGCAGCAGGCGAACCGCTCTACGCTACCGGTACGCAGGCTGGTCGTGCCGGGTCCCTGCTGTTCCCACTTGGGATGTGGAACCTGCAGAGGTTTGCGACCTACAGAATTTGTCGCAAACCCGGAGCAGACTTCCTGAAACAGCCGGGTCACAAATATTTCAACTCTCAGGGAGGTACATGTTTTCTTTTTTGGGTGGCCAGAGGTGCAGTTTTAGCAACATTACTATTTTTGTCTATATTTGAGGGTTTAAAAAAATATTGCATCTTCCCCTACTTGTATTATTCTTTTTTTTTTCTTTTTAAATTTCAGAATATTGTGGGGGTACAAACATTCTGTTTACATAAATTGCTTTTGTACAGTTTGAGTCAAAGTTATTATACCCATTAGGTATGAAGTTACCCCTCCCCCCACCTGCCTGATTTCTGACGAGTGTTATTTCCATGTGTGCACACAGGTGTTGACCGAGGAGCTCCAATTTAATGGTGAGCATGTGTAGTGTTTGTTTTTCCACTCTTGTGATACTTCACTTAGGAGAATGGGCTCCAGGTCCAACCAGGTTAGTACAAGGGGCATTAGTTCGCCATTTTTCATGGCTGAGTAGTACTCCATGGCATACATATACCACATTTTGTTAATCCGCTCATGTATTGATGGGCACTTGGGTTGTTTCTGAATCTTTGCAATTGTGAATTGTGCTGCTATAAACATTCTAGAGCAGGTGTCTTTATATATATATATATATGTATATATATATATATATATCTATCTTTTTCCTTTCCTGCCCAGTAGTGGGATTGCTGGATCAAATAGTAGTTTTAGTTCTTTGAGGTATCTCCATACTACTTTCCATAGAGGTTGTACTAGTTTGCAGTCCCACCAGCAGTGTTTACGTACTTGTTTTATTCTAACATGCCCGTCACAGGGTCAGACATGTGGACTAAACTGAGCCGGTCAGATTAGCGGCCGGAGGTGAGGACCAGAGTCACCATGTTCCCAGCTTGCAAGGTCTGGGAAAAGATCCTGTCCTGGCCCCAGCCCACCCCCAAACTCTTACGTGACCCCAGCCCCAGTGTCACCCTGACATGCCCTCTTCAAGGCTGCTGAGATCCACAAGGCCGTTGGCAGAAGCCTGGCTTCCCAGGGCATCTGGAGCCATCTGGAAGGGGCTGGCGGTAAATCCGCCGGGCACCAGGGTCCTTGGTCCTGGGACCATCCTTCCCGAGGATCTTTCTGCCCCGGCATTTCCGCTCCTCACCACGGCCACGAGAGGGCGACGATGCTCCATCTGCTGGAGGAAAACTGCCCCGTCCCTCCCTGCCCTGGACCTTGGGCTTCCAGGCTCACTCCTTGTGGCGAGGCGGAGAGGGTGGTCCAGAGCGCTGTGGCCCTCACCCCCTGCCAGCCCGTCCACTGCCCTGCCTCTCCCGAGCCAGGGGAGCCGGGCCGTGGAGGAAGCTGCTCAGGGCCGCGGCCAGCAGAGCCGTGGGGCCTCTTGCAGGAAGACAGCCTGGTTGTGCTAGAAGGATGGTGTCTCCTGACCTTTGTCCCCGCCCTGGGGGCTCCCCACCGTGCTGCCCACCGGCTTCTGGGCCTGGGCAGCCCTTCGGCAGAGAGCGCTCAGGCCAGCTGCTCTCCCGCCCCAGCGTCCGGCTCTGGGGCTACCTCCGGGAAGGCGCCCCCAGCCCGGGCCCGGTAAACAACAAGCCCAGGGTGGAAGGACGGCAAGGCCGGGGGGAGGGACGGCTCTGGAGTGGGATCTGGACAGCCCTGGGACCACCTGTCGGGGGGACAGAGGCCGAAGGGGGCTGCGGTGGCTCGGCATCATGGAGAGGATTCTTTTCCTGTGGGTGGGGGTGCCGGCTAAGGGAGGGGTCAGCACAGAGGGATGGGGCGGATGGGAGGACAGCTCCTGATGCTCTTGTCCCGGGTTGCAGTGGGAATCTTCTCCCCAGCTCTGTCTCCGACCTCCGCGGTGGGGCAGGTCTCCCTGGGGGCCGAGGGGGCATGGCCACGCCGAGGCTGTGGGGGTGGCTTGGCCGCAGCGGCTCCTCCGGAGAAGGCCTGGCCCTTCCCACGCCCCTCCTGGAATGCAGGGCTGCTCCTGGGAGCTGCGCAGAGTGACTTTCCCTCTGGAGCCTGAGGTCGCTCAGCCTCCCAGGCCTGGGGGCGCATTCTTGACGGGAAGCCAGAGCAGCCGGGGGCGGGGGCCGGGCACCCCCCAGCACCGGCATCGCCACCTGGCTTCGTGGGCAGGAGGTGTGCGAATGCCAGGAATGCCACACTGGGGGGGGGCGTGTAAGTACCAAGGCTCTGGTGTTGGGGAGACCCTGTGCGGGGCACTGGGGATATGGACACAGTGTCACCTGCAGATACTGCAACAGTGTCCAGGGCTCACCAAGGCAGAACGGAGCCGTCAGGGCTGCCAAGAAGGGAGGCCTGGGGTGTGGGAGGCCAGGGCAGGGAGTGGGGCGGAGGGCGGGAAGGTGGCGTGGAATGGCCTATTTTACTCTTAAACAAATAACTGCCATAACTTAGCACCTACTGAATGCCCAGTCACTTCCTTACACAGCTTGACTGATACCCCTCTTACTTTAAAGATCCAGAAACTGAGGCTCAGAAGAGGGCCAGCAACTTGCCCAAGATCACACAGCAGAGGCAGGCCTGGACCCCTGTCCCCTTAGCTGGAGCAAACCCTCATCCACCATGATAGACTCCACCACCCTGCAAACACCCTCGGGCTGACTGAGACGCCAGGACGCAGCCTCCTGAGGGCCTGAGGGAGGGCTGTCGAGGGGCGCAGTAGAGGCAGGAAAGTGAGGCTCAGAGGGGGCCTCCCCATCGCATGGCTCCAGGCCTCATTCACATAAACTCGGGTGGCCCCTCGCTGGGGCAGAGCACGGGGCGACTCAGGCCTGTGCAGCCACCCCAAGCAGGCCCACGCAGTCCCGGGAGATGGCAGGGGCCTTCCCGGGCCGCTGGGGAGAGGCAGGGGAGGAGGGTCTGGGGCTGTCGGTCTGGGGAAAAGGTTTCGGCCTGGCCAGGCCAGAGCTGGGAGAGGAGGAGGCCGGGGAAAGCGGACCAGGCTGCCTGAGGCGCTCGGTATTGATGCAGCCTACCCCCCAGGCTTCTGGAAGCTTCTCCCTGGGTGCATTTAACAGCCAAGGTCAGGGTTCTGTTCCCATAGCTGGATGCCTGGAATATTCGTTTCCACATCCCTGTGTGGGAGCCAAACCTGCTCCTCGGAGCCAGGAGGGCTGAGCCTGGAGGGAAAAGCAGAGGTTCCCCGTCCCTGGGATTCAGTGAAGGGACGCTGTGCGTCAGGGGCTGGCTGCCGGCTTTCCTCTGCCCTTCTAGGTGCTGTGTCTGGCTGCATTTCTCTCTCTCTCTCTCTCTTCTCTCTTTTCATCTCCTTCTTCTCCCCCCCACCCTCCTGCTGTGACACAGCGGGAAGAGCCGGCCCTGGGCCAAGCCAAGCCCCGGCCCCCAGCTCGCAAGCACGGTGATTTGGGGCAGGCCACGGCCCTCGAGCCCCTTCCCTTGCGTGTAAAAGGGCTGCAACACCTGCTGCCGAGTTGTCTGTGGGGGTCGACGAGATCACAGGGCACATTCCCAGGCCCATTTGCGCTTGAGAACTATGGGGTCTAGATCCGGGACGGGCCACAGACAGACTGGAGCAGGGCGACCGAGTCTCTGAGTCTTGACTTTCTCGCCAAGAAAAGGAGAGTAACCATGGCGCCCCCTTCAAAGAGCTGTTGTGCGGACTTGATGGTGTCACGGGTGTCCTTCAGACACAGAGAGTGCTTATGAAATGATCTGTTGTTATTGTCATTATTATTATCTTTCTGGAAGATCGTTGGTCCTGCAGGAACCCAGTGAATGGGGGAAGAGAAGTCTCCGTACGCGTATCAGGGCAGAACTCCGCTGAGGCTTGCCGCACTTCGGACAGCAGAGGCGAAGACGGTCAGGGACAGCGCTTGTACCGCAGCACGGAAGTATGACGTGCCAGGGGGCCCGGCCTGGGCGCCAGTCAGCACACGGATGCCATGGGAAAGGACGCCTACGTCACATCACTAATGATCCAGGGATCCAGGGATCCAGGGATCCAGGGATCCAGGCTGTCCCAGCAGCCTCAGAACCGCGCTGGTCCAAACGCGTCTGTTACGGGCTGCCTTCCCCTGCAGACCGGCTGGTTCTTGAAGGCCAGGGCCGTACCATTCTCGTTTTGTGTCAGGTCTGGGCACTGACAGAGATTGGTTCGGGGATTGAGCTTTTGATCCAAGGGTCAAAAGAAAGACAGCCCTGGGACTTTTCCCGAAACTTTTAAAAAGGGTTACTAAGCTGGCATATTATAAGTTGAGTCACTGGAAGTCTTCTTGGTTACCACAAATGGAGAGTCCGCCCGAGAATAACACCAACCCCAAGGGAAGCAGAACTGAGAGGCAGAGGCAGATGACCGATGACATCACCTGAACACCTGGATCCAGCCATTCCTGAAGCTAGACTGACTTGTTCAGTTGTGTGGGTCGGTAAATTCTGTCTCCTCCCTTTTTTGAGTTTTCCTGAGTTAGTTTTCTGTCTCTTACCACCCAAACAGCTTAGATTAAGATGGTCTTTTTTATTTAACAAAATGTGATTATCAGACAGCATTGATGAAAATGTTGGCTGGCCCAGTAGAAGCAGGTGGCATCATGGGAAGGACAGCTAGAAGAAGAGAAAGGAGCCTGGGTGCTGGGTATACCCCTAACCAAGACCTTGGGGCAGGGTGCAGAGTGTACCTCTTAAAGATTTTGCCTTGACTCTGCAGTAGGCCCACCTGGGGCCCAATCCTACTTCTACCTTGGAGGGACCTTGGTTCAGGTGTCTGTAAAATGAGCACATTGTGAAGATTCATTGCCGAAATGTGTGAAAAGCATGGTTTCTGCTGCTTGATAAATGCTGGTTATCTTTCTTATCCCACTGCTCCTAAAACTCAGTGTCACCAAGGTGGGCTGCTCTAACCAGCCAGGAAGAACAGGCCTGGGCAGCTCCTTCGCCCTGTGCGCCACCCCCAGCCCCCTCCCGGTATCACTGCAAGGCTCCGCCCCAGAAAGCTGGGCGCCGAACCTGGCCTGGCCCAGCCTAACTGGCCAGCCGGGCCCGCTTCCACTGGACACTCACAGGTCCTTATCTCCGCCATGACTAAATTTGGACCTTAAACTCACAATCAGCCTGGGAATTCCTGACAAATTCCAGCAAGGGCCAGCTGTTCTCTTCAGTTTTCGCAGACTAGAGAGATTATTTTTTCCAAGTAACAAGTTTAAATTAAAAGTCATATTTGCTCATTATAGAAAATATGGAAAATGCAGGGGAAATTCACCAATAACGCCACCACTCAGAACAGCCCTCCATGGACATTTTGCTTCTTTTCTGCTTGTCTTGCCAATGCATGGTCAGGTTTTGGGCTGTTGGTTGGTTTTTTACATCCCTGAAATTAGAGTCGATGTGCAATTTTGTATCTTGATTTCCCCACCATATTTTAACACAAACCTGTTCCCGTCTTCTAAGCTGTTCTAACAATTGCTGCTTATTGTTGGGTGCCAGACGCTGGGGCTAGCACGTCACCAGCATGATCTCAAGAGCGCTCACACCCACCCTACAATCAGGAACTATTATTAGGCTTGCTCTGCAGATGAGGAAACTGAAGTCCAGAGAGGTTAAGTGCCCTCACCCAAAGTCTGGGTGCGGCCCTGGCAGGCTGGCTTCAAGCCCCATGCTGGTAGCCACGTGTGTGCCTGTCATGGCAACCTTCCCCCGCAGCGAGGTTTGTTGTTTTCCCCTGCCGGTAGGCACTCTTCATTGCCTCAATTTCCCTGAGGGGTGCCATTTCTCACTGAGCTGGCAGAGTTCAGAACGGGGCAGCTGTCGGATGCAGGTGAGCATGCCTCCTGGATCTGACCCATTGGAGCCCCGGAGCTCCTTGTCCTCAGGGATTGGTTGAGGAGGGGACACGTGATCCAAGATGGTCCAGGCAGGGATGCTCAAAGGCAGGATGCAGGCTGGACCTGCAGGTCGCAGTCTCTAGAACTTTCCTGGGAATGGGGCCAGAATAAAGGAGGGCAGAGCGGAGGGGAGAGACCAGACCTGATGCAGCCCTGCAGGCTTGCACCTGTAGTGAGTTCTGCTTCTGCACTTTTCAGGTACCTGAGCTTGTCCTGTTTGAGCTGGGTTTCTGTCACCAAGAGTTTTGGCAAGTACACCTGGTTGTTGGACATTAGGGTTGCTTACAGTTTTTCACCATTATAGATAATGCTACAATGAACATCTTTACACAGAGAGCTTCTCCTTGCTTAGAATTATTTCATTGAGATATTTTTGCAGAAGTTACATGGCAAAGGTCAAACATTGTCAGGGCTCTGTAGACATCTTGCACTTTGTTTGCTTAAGGCTGGCAATGATTTGGATCTCTCACCCCCATCCCCCAACAGTATATGCAAGTGATTTTTAAAAACTCAGTACTGGAGAGACTTTTTTTTTTAACAAGCCAAAGTTGTATTTGTTTTTATTTTAAACAGGAAAATTTATGTTAATATAAAACAGATAAAAACAGACAAAATCACAACACACAACACACAAAAGCACAACACACAAGACTAGTGCAAACCCTTCCCAACCCACTCCCCAGTTTTAAAACCTTTATTACAGATCCCCAAGGATTAGACTGTATTGGAGAAGTCACAGTATTGAATCAGAAAAATAATAGTAAGAAGAGGCATGTTTAAAAAGGTCTGTACACAGGTAGTGGGGTGTGGGGTAAGGGGTGGACACTTTGTCACTCCAACATCAAAAACACAATGCCAAAAGGATTTCAGTGATAATCATGGATTTCTAGAACCCTACCACATATGCTAGTCCCCTGTCCACTTTTAAAAGTTGCTTTTAAAGAAGATAAAAAGTGCACAGACACTTTCATAAGGCACAGACAGATTGTTGTACAAGTCGTTTCACTAGGGACTTGGGTAAACCAGTGAGACAATTAAATACCGAGAAATGCCAGGAGGCCACGTGTTCCTGAGCCGGTGTCCCCCTGCCAGAACTGGGACAGGGATGGGATCGAGTGATGGGAGGTTATTGCCTCTCATTTGCCAAGACTTTGCACAACCCCATTGTCAACTGGGACTGACTCAGTTGGGGTCCTCCTGGGCCTTGGGGACCGATTTCCAGGGCCAGAAAGTAGTAGGCAGCCACCTTCCCAGACTCCCTGGCAGACCTGAGGGTGGCCAACCCATGGGGACTTTGGGGGTTCTGCCTAAGGCTGTTTTGGCAGCAGCTCACTGACTGCAAGACGCCCCACAAGTCTAATGCAGAAGAGGTTTTTCGAGTCACATGGGAGGTTCTGGGCCGGGAAAGCAGCTGCTGGGTGCTCACCTGGATGGACCCAAGGCAACAGAATGGCCAATAAGGCCCAGTGGATTCTGTCCCCAACGCCTCATTACCCTCTTAATGTCACCACCTCCCGCACCAGAGCTGGGCACAGCCCTCTCTGCTCCATCCTCCCAGCACCCCACACCTAGTAGGCACTCAGCAAACGTTTGTTGAATGACTTTGTGTGCATGTGTTATGTGATGCTGTATCACCAAACCCCTGGACGTCCATAATCTGATTTCTGGTTTATCCAGCAAACCTTTACTAAGTACCTACTACGTGTTAGCACAGGACGAGACACCAGATGGATCCAACAGAGTTCACCAATCTGTCCTCCTCTGGACCTGAGCCCTGGCAGCCTTTGGCTTTAGTCCCAGTCCTTGACCCCAAGTCCCCAACACAGCCTGTGCCGAGCAGCGGGCGCCCCCTGACTGGAGGCGCTGGAGTGGCCAAACCCCGGAGACGCCTGTTCCAAGGACACCCTAGAAAAATGAGCTTGTTTTGTCTTGGAAACAGCCAGTGTTGCAGGAGGCTCCTAACGAACAGGCACAAGACCGCGACAACAAGGTGTCTTGGGTCTGTCCTGTCCTGTCCTAGGCTGGAGCCATGGCTGCTGCAGCCCGGAAGGGCACGCCATGGGCGTGGGACGCGCCCTGGGACACAGGAGCCCGGGACACAGGAGGGCTGGGCACACCAGGGGATGCTCAGTGGCCAGGGGCTCTGCGTGCAGGGCTGGCGGTCACAGGGCCCAGGACGGTGGTGGGATAAGGCCCTGGGCCCCTCCCCAAAGTTGTCCCACACGGCACCCCCAGAACAAAGGCCCTTGGGTTGGAGCCGAGACCGCGCGTAGCGTGGCTCTGCCAGAAGCAGGGCAGCGAGCAGATGTGCCCGAAAGGAAGGACACTTGTCCTTCCAGCGTGCGGGCAGTGGACGGGGCTTGGCCTGCGCTGGAACCCTCCACCCAGGGGCGGCGCCAGGCTCTCTCCAGATGAGCATCAAGGAAGAAAACTCCGTCTTGAGTTTCCTGGGGCTCAGGGCCAGGCGTGGAGAGCAGGGGAGCTGGCACCAGACCTCCCTGGGTGTGAATCGCAGCTCCGCCACCTCCCGTCATGTGATCATTAAGTCACTTCACTTACAGGACCTCAGCTCCCTACCTGCCAAAGGGGATGATGCCATTTTTCATTGATTCTAAGTACCACAGCCTTTATCTCTGATCAATGAACTGTACAGTTGTGGCATCTTACAGTTAAGACTGGCAGCATGTTTTCCCTAGTGGTACATAAAATGGTGCACTTTATGATCAGCAGTATCTTAGATGGGACTCATTATGGCAAAAAGACCTGCCTCACAGGACTAAGGCACCTCTCTAGCCCAGTGCCAAGGCACACAGCAGGTGCAAAATAAAAAAGTGTTTCCTTTTCCTTTTGCTCTTGCCCCCTTCTCAAAACAGAACATAGATGGGGATTTGAGCCTCTCCTCTGTAGCACTGAATAAATCAGTTCAGAGCATCAGGAAATGTCTGGTTTTTAGAAGATAAACACCCCCTTAACTCCTCTTGGAAACAGGGAGGCTATTTATAGCAGCTGCAGAGCAGGTGGAACAGGCCACTGGCTCCTTTCTTCCTGGGTAACAGGTCACTAGGAGAAGGCCTTGTCCACCCCTGTGCCCGGGCCCTCAGTCACTGGTTTCCTGGTGGTGGCTGTACGTGACCGTGGCTGGAGCCCAAGGGGGCAGCCAGGAAGAGCAAATGGCAGGAGAGAGGAGCTGGCTCCCCCAGGCCACTGGGGCCACCAGAGCTGCAACTCAGTCCAGTTATGGGGACGGTCACCTGGAGAACCACAGGCGGGGGTGATGAGCCCCTGCCACAGGGCCTGTGCATGGCTCTACACACACCCAGCACACGGGGCGACCCAACAGCTGGGCACCCGGGGCTGCCCAGATTCTCCAACTCTGATTCCGGCAAACACTGGGGTTCCAGGAGCTCCAGAATCAAAAGATTCTGCTGCAAAAGTAAAATGTGGGCACGTTCCCTAAATTCACTAGGGAAGAGTAACCATCCAGGGGCGCTTGCCATTTCAAGACTGCAGGGGTCTGAAGTCGGGGTTAGGTCAGAAAACCATGGCCATTCTCAGCTGGAGGAGGAGGGTGGCCCGAGACCTCCAGCATGACAAGGGCACCGACTGGTCTACGAGGCCTGATTTGATGAGGGCCTGGGCCCACCCGGCTCGGGACCCTCAGACGCCCAGGGAGCGCTTGGTACACAAATGCGAAAGTCTCTGAACGTTTCCTCTCCTTCCCTCCCTCAGCAGATGAACATACCAGGAACTGTAATAAAAATCATACTTTTTCTTTGCAAGGTGTCTCAGCCTTTTTAGAATGTCGTGCCAGTCCTCCTAAGAGCTTTTGGGGTGGTCAGGTTCTAAACTTCCTGTGGGAAACTGAAAAACAGACAGGCCAAGGGACTTCCCTAAAGGTACAACACAGAACAGGGCAGAGGTGGAGCCCAGAACTGGGGACAAGAAGGGAGGAGCAGGCCTGGGCCAGCCCATTAGCCCAGGTGTGGTCTGGGAGTCTGCAGAGATGGGCAGGGGTGACCGGGTGGTAGGGCTGGGGTCTCAGGAAATACCAGCGGGTAGGCCTGGGAAGTGCGAATCACAAGGCCAGCGTTTTCACTGTCACTGTGTATGAGTTAACAGACTTATCAGTTAACGTGCCAGGAACCCGAAGAAGAGGATGAACTGAGAATGAGAACAAGGACCAGTCATGAAGTCCTGGTTCCTCCCACTGCTGCCAGGAGGCCACCCTGGGAGCACCCACACCACCTGGCCGGTGCCAGGCCCAGGGTTACAACAGGAAACGTGGACAGCTGTCTGTGCTATGAAGTGGCGTTTCCAAGTCCAGGTGAGTCACCTGCCTCTAGGATTCTTTCCCTCCCCCAGGAAAAGGGAACCTGCATGCTCCTCTTCTCCTGGGAGGGGTTACAAAGACTGAAAGCCTCCAGAGACGGAGCGAAGGTGCGATGTGCTTATTATTAGACTGTCTGGGGGGAAGGGGCGAAAGATGACCCAGGCCAGAGCGCCCGGCTGCAGCGCGTCCAAGACTGCGTAAGAAATGAAAAAAGTGAATTGTTCTCTTACGTTCTCCACCCGCCTTCCCCTCAAGGAGTTGCTGCTTTGGAGCTGTAAACAATGAGTTATTTTTGCCTCCCCTTAGGAAATCTGAGCATCTCCTTCCTATACCATCCAAGGGAGCTCTGTTTAGGTTCAGGCTTCATACATTCAAAACCAACTTCCGTCACAACCCCGGAAAGTGAACGATTTCTAGCCACGCTAGCATCTGGGCTCCGGACTGCACGTTCCGCAGCGTTCGGTAAGCCCCCAGAGTCAGGATACCTGGATACAATCCCCACGCGCCCTCCCCTCTCATTCTCTCGCACATTCTCTCCCTAGTCTCTGGCCCCCTCCCGCCCCTCCCCTTCTCACTCACACTCAGCCCACCCCGGAAAGAAGCATTGCACAGACAGAAGATGCTGTTTCCCAGCTGAAAGGTCACCGAGGGAAAGGGCGATCTGCCAGGCAGTTCCTGAGCTTGCTCTTGGGACGGCCGTTTGGGGGCAAAGCACTTTTGAGCCAGAAGCAAACCTTGCCGGGCTCAGACCCCCAGGGCCTGTTCTCCACGACTGTCACGCCTTGCCCACTGTTGGAAAGACGGCTGCTGCCCTTGGACTCCCTGGAAGCCATGGTGGTTGCCGGCCCAGGGGGGCTTCAGAAAGGTGACCTTGCTCCAGCCAAGGCCTGTGGGCAGGCCAGGCTATGGCCTGTAGATCTTAATGACGTCCTTGATGGGCCGCCGACAGATGGGGCAGCAGGCCCGGGCCTGGCGCCGGAGCCGCAGGCCACAGTTGAAACACAGGCACATGTGTCCGCACGTGTAGATGACCGTGTCCACCTCGCCATCGAAGCACACCGTGCACTCGCCGTTCTTGCTGTCTGCTGGCTCTGGCGGGGAGAACACAGGGGACACCGGGGGGCTCAGCGGGGAGCTGGGCGCTGTCACTGCCGAAAGGGAGAACAGGACATGTGTTAACAATGTATCTCCCAGGCGGGCTCTGCTGGGGCAACCCCAAGGGCGCAGAGCTTTGTGGGGGAACCAGTGGGGAACAATTGGGAGGGAGTGGGATTTTGGTTTACCTTCCAGGTTTTGCACCTTTCCTGCCCTTCTACCGCCCCTCCCCCAAGCATCAAGATAAAATGCCCCCATCATCACCATTTGGGATGTCCTATCTAGAAGGTTCACCTCCCCCAGCTGAACATACCGCTGAGGGAAGGAGAGGACGCAGGGGGAGAGGCAGCGCCCTGCTCAGCCCTGGGAGGGCCCAGCCGAAGGGGCCAGGCCAGCCCCAGCCCGTTCCCACCAGGGTTTGCATTTCCTTACCCAGGGATGACTCAGACGCAGAGGAGGACTGGTTGACACTGAAGGTCATATCTGAATCACTGTCGTCTTGAGAGCCACTGAGGGACCCTGATGGGGTCGTCGACGCGGGACTGGACTGCAGGGTACCTGAGACCCAAAGAGACTCCATCAGAGACAGTGGGAAGTGGGACCTGCCCTGCCAGTCCCTGGCTCTTCACCACTTCGCACCTGAGCTTGCCCGTCTGCCTAATGAGGGGACCAGAGCCACCTCCCAGGGTTCTGCTAAGGACTGACGAGCTCACACAGCGTGGTGGCCATCTGTCCTCTGCCCGCCCAGCCTCCACTCCCATTTTTTTCTGGACTAGCGCTGCCCCATTAGAGGTTCTCTGGGGCACTGCTGCACCCTCCCCCACTCGAGGCAGGCCTGGCCAGGAAGAACTTCCACTCATGGTCTCAGCAGTGGTTCAGGGAAGGGAAGGTAACCCCAGTAAGGCCGCCGAGGCCCAATTCTGTCACTTCCACCAGAACTGTTGGGAAAGAAGGGGCTCATTCCATTGGGAGGTAAGCCTGGAGCTGGAGGGCCACCTGTGGCAAGGGTCTGCCTGAGTGACGCCATCACAGAGGCAAGAACTTTGAGAGGAAGAGAGAGATGGGACCCTAACAACATCCTTTCAACACGTAGATCCAGCTGTTCCTGAAGCCACCCAATATACTCCCAGACTTTTGAGTTATGTGTACCCATAAATTTCCTTATTTTTGCCTAGGGCAATTTGGGCTTTTGTCACTTGCAACTACAAGATCCCTGACTACTAGTGTTCAACGTAGGTGAGTCTTCTTCCTGAAGCTCACTGTGGGTTCAGATAATAGACAAGAATAGGTTATTTGTGGGATGGAGATGCCCCTTCCCTTACCCGACTCTAGGATGAATGCACAATGGGCACCTCATCTCGGGCTGAGATGATGACTATGACTAATGGTGCCTCAAAAACCAAAAACGAAACCAAAACCAAAACCAAAACGTCCAAACCACCGCTGCCACCACGCGCTCCTCTGCTGTCACTCAGACAGCAAGCGCTTCTGTTGTTACTGTTACCACCAGTCAAACTCAGGGCGGTATCAGGCCCTGCTGAAGGTGTCCTATGCATCTCATCGTTTCGTCCTCGTGACAACCCCACGATGCAAGTGTTCCTCGCTGTCTGCACAGACAGAAACAGGGGCTCAGGAGAGTCTCTGATCTAACACTTCCATGGCTGACCTGCGGTGTGGCTCTGAACAGCCATTTATTTAATCTCTCTGTGCTTCAGTACTGTTACCAGATGGGGACAGGGACACCAATTTCATAGGGTTATCAGGAGGATAAAATTTAACGACATAACAATGAAATGCTGACTGGCTGTTATTATTTGACTTTACTTCTTAAACCATGAAATCGGAGCTGTGCTATCTGGGAGGCTTCCCCGGCCGCCCTCCATCCACCAGGCAGGGTGAAGCCCCCCCCTCCGTGGCGGACGTCACCATGGCGCTCGCCACGTGGGTGTCTGTGCGCGCCTGCCGGCGCGGCTGGTCCTGCCCTCCGCCGGCCCGTCCTGGAGCCCAGGGCCTCGCCCACAGCTGCTGGGCGCTTCCCACCTATTGGGGCATGAAAACGAAGGCCGGAATCATCTCAGAACAGGACGGTTCAAGTCTCCGTTCCACTCTGCCGAGGCTGCCGTCCTCGCGCGCTCTCACACGCAGAGGGAGATATATCCCCCTCTCACGCTTAATACGCGTCACATACACTAAACCGCTCTAACGTGACTCATCGTAACGGCGCTAAACCGTGCGCCGACGGCTACCGGCTGCGCGCAGCCTGCCAAGCCCGGGACCAGCCAGCTCCCTATCCGGGCCGGCGCCTCACAACACGTGGCCGGGGAGCAACCAGGGCACGTCCCGGGGCACGTGCCAGAATGCCCGTCCGGGGACACTGCGGCGGCGGCGGCCGGCTGGCGGTGGGGACGCCGGCATAGGCGCGGCACTGGCGCGGCGGCGCAGGCGCGGCACTCACCGAGGAGGCGCAGCTGGCCGGCCGCGCCGCCGCGCACGGCGAAGAAGGCCCAGAGCGCCTGCGTGGTGTCGACGCACAGCAGGCGGCCGCGCGGGCGCCCGTTGACGCCCAGGAGCACGTCGCCGCCGGGCCGCAGCGTGAAGCTGAGCACGTCGCCGCCGCTGCGCACGGGCCCGGCGCGCGCCACCACCCAGTACTCCTTGCGGTCGAGCAGCGCCTCGAGGTCGGCGGGCAGCTCTGGCGGCCGCAGCCCGCCCGGGTCGCACGACGTGATGCCGAAGGGCAGCGCGCCGGGCGCCGCCAGCCCCGGGCGGCCCACCTCCACGAAGAGGCTCTCGCCGGGCCGCAGCGGGCGCTCGGAGAAGACGAGCGTGCGGCCGCCGTCCGGCCGCGGCGCGCAGGCCACCTTGCGGTCGGCCGACAGGCTCACGTCGGACCCGCGCGTCGCGTGGAAGCGCAGGTCGGCCTCCAGCAGCACCGGCGACGACGCGGGCCGCGGCGGTCGCGGGCCCGCACGGGATGGCGGCGGCCGTGGCGGTGGCGGCGGCCGCGGGGTCGGCGGGCGCGGCCCAGCGCCAGGTGGCCCAGCTTGGCCACCACCTGGTTGTTCTCGAGCTCGTTGTTGTCGAAGTTGGCCGCGTCGTGGCTGTTGGGCGGCAGGCAGGCGCTGAAGCGGGCCTGGCTGAGGCGCGTGGGCGGCAGCGTTTCGGCGAAGGTGCTCTCTGCGGGGACAGAGGGGACCGTGAGTGCGGGGCGGGCCCACCGAGCCCCTCCCCGGCGCCCCGCTCTCCTCTTGTTCCTCTGCGTGTGTGCTCAAGGAGCCACAGGTGACAGAATTGGGCTAAGCACAATCGGTGGCTCACCGGACACGCTCTTACCTGTAGGAGGGGCAGAGGGGCCTTCCTCCCTCTTTGCTCTCACCCTCCTGCCCTCCTTTCCCTCGTCTCCGCCCTCTTCTTCCACCCCTCCTTCCTTTCACCCCACCTTCTCTCTTTTCTTCTTTCCCCCTTTCTCTCCCTCTCCCTTTTTTCCTCCCTCTTCCATTCCCTTTTTCCTGCTTCCTTTTTTCTCTCCCTCCTGTCCTCCCCCCTCCCCTCCCTCACAGGTTTTCATACTTTTGAACATTCAAAGGGCATCTGAAAATCCTTTATTGTCTCCCCAACTAGAACATAAGTTCCAATTTCTGGCCTTACAAGATCATTCCACATGTTGTCTCATTTAATCCTCACAACCACCCTGTGGGGTATGTACTGTTACTAGCCATTGAGCTAAGAGAGAGCTGAGGCACGGAGAGGCTGGGGGACATGACCAGCATGACTGCTACTAAGTGGCGAAGCCACAGCCTGAACCCCGGCTGTCTGGCTGCGGAGTGAGGGCTCTTCAGCACGTGCCGCCTCTGAGGAAGGAGGCCCTGCGCCTGTCCTCACTGCCGTCCACAGCACCGAGCACGGGGCCTGGCCCTGGGCAGCTCTCTAAGCATGGAAGAAATAAGGTCTTTACAAGAGATCCACTCATTCTATAACAACAGAAAAGGAAGGGAAAGTTCTTAAAAAGTTATGAAAATATTTTGAGTAATTTTTAGTGCTGCGAAAAGATGTTCTTGATACTATATGTTATAGTTGCATAACAACGCAAAATAAAGATTATGTTTATCCAGGTAGTAGAGATCTTCATACTTTGGTAGATTACTTGTTTATTTTCTGTCTCCCTAGCTAGAATAAGAGTCCCTGGAAGGCGAGGTCTATGCCAGTTTGTCCACCACTGTGTTCTCAGGGCATACCAGGGAGCTTGACAAACAGCCTTCATTATTAATAGTTTATTGAATGAATAAATGAATGAATGAGGTCTCTAGAAGAGACTGCTACACTGAATAACCAATCAGGGAAAGAAACAGTCATTAAAATATTTTGGAGATTTTTTTTAACTGATAAAAATGTTCCTGTTTACTCATAACAAGTTAACAAGATAGTGTTTCTCAAACTTTTTAAACAGACCCCTCTCTAGCCAAGATTTTGTGAAATGTTATCATTCTATAGTTTGTATCACACATGCAAATTTCTTCCTCTTTATTTTTTCCAAATCATAAAATGAATTCATAAATATGAACGTTGCTTTACAAAATTGGTGGTGCCCTAGGTCCCTGTGGAGAGTCACGATATTAACCCCCTCACCCGGACACCTTTCACTTCAACTGGATTTATAGCTTCTCTTGGGAAATGAAGTCTGCTAACAGGGCCTGACCTCGAGCATGGCCACAGTGGGCGAAAGCTTGCCCTCTTACTGAGGTGGTTTGAGCTGTCCTTCCCGATGGCCCGAGGTGGCCCTCTTCACCGGCTCGCTACATTGCTGGGCTCCTAGGGGGCATCAGCGTGATCGGCTTTGCTTTAGACGATGCTTCCCCACAGCTTGAGGAAAGAACTGCATTCAGTTTGGTTCTTTTAAAAAAAGTGTATTGCGATGTGTTTTTTATGTGTAATATCTGTATCAGTTTTAATTTATGATCATAAATGAAATTCAAGTGGCCGGGGCAGGGTGGCTCACGCCTGTAATCCTAGCACTCTGGGAGGCCGAGGCAGGTGGAATTGCTGCGACGTAGAGTTCGAAACCAGCCTGAGCAAAGTGAGACCCCATCTCTACTATAAATAGTTCAAGAAATTGTAATATGGCCAACTAGAATATAAGAAAAAATTACTGCCGCGCATTGGTGGCGCATGCCTGTAGTACCCAGCTACATCGGGAGCGTGAGGCAGGAGGATCACTTGGCCCAGGTAGTTTGAGGTTGCTGTGAGACTAGCGCTGTACACCACCGTGCACTCACCTAGCTGGCAACAAAGTGAGACTACTGTCTCAAAAAAAAATAAAAAAAAAAGAATCAATGCGGAGAGATAAATGAAGAAAATGTATGGTATTGTCTCCCAGGGGTAAGACTATGAAGGACTTTAGAAGCTTTTTCTGTATTACCCGATTTTCCTACAGTAAACATGTACATTACACATTTTTATCAGAAAAACATCAATAACTATTTTTAGAAATCAAGTTTTTAATTAATATTTAACAATATGGGAAAATGTTCTTGATAAAACATTAAATGAACAAAAGAGGATGCAAAACTGAACAAATGGTTTGATTCTACTTTTGTTGGAAATGTGTGCATAGGATGCATAGGAAAAATCTAGGAAGGAAATACCTAAAAAAATTTGGGAGTGTTTATTTCTGGGTGGAAATTTGCTTCTTTATAGTTTTCTGGTTGTCTCATTTTTCTCTAACAAACATATACTGATTTTGTAATCAGGAACAAAGTATGTACAAAGGTAGAATAAAACTAGCCCTTTTTTGAAAAGGCATTTTAGACAAGTGGATGTTTCTGAGAATCTCTTGGTATAACACACTTTTCTCAGAGCTCCCTGCCACACCCACAGTCGCCCTGCCAGGCTAAGTTTAAAGGCGCTGGCCTCAGTTTGCCCTGGGCCTCTGCCCGCTCTGGGCCCTGCTCTTGCCGACACACTCTGCCTCTGCTCCCAACCCCAGTGCTTCCCCTCCTTGCCCCGGTGGCTCACCCAGGATCCTGTCCTTCAGGACGGCATCCTCATTAAGAGCATGGCCTGTGGGCTGGGCACACTTGGGTTCTAGTCCTGGTTTTGGCCCTTCCTGGCTATGTGACCTTAGGTAAGTCATTTCACCTCTTGAAGCCCCAGCTTTGCACAGAATGTTAGTGGTAAGCTCCCCTCCCCCCCCCACCGTGTTATGGAGGTTAAATTACTTTTATGAAGAGTATAACAGAGCATGGCATTAAGTGCTCAAAACATTAATTATGATCATCATCATTCCTTTAGCATTTATTCAACAAAATGTACAGCGCACTCACCACGCGCCAAGTGCTGCAGGGCACTGGGCGAGCAGAGGGAACACAGTCTGGGTCCTGTGTTCACGGAGCTCCCGTGCCAGGGGGAGACACAGACTCTAATGAAGCCATCTTACAGAGAGCTGGTGAGTGCCCCAAGGGCCACCGTGTGCAGGTAAGTGGGGGGCTCAGAGGTAAAGTGAGTTACTCAGCCGAGGAGTGACAGGGATGAGATTCTCTAAGAGTGTACAAAAGGGGACTTGGTCAGAGTGAGGCCTAAGAGTGAGCCAGAAAAGGCCTCTCTGATGGTGGTGAAGGGGTGAGGCCTGGGTGGCCAGGTGACAGTGGAGCGTGAGCATTCTAGGCACAGAGGACAGCACGTGTGAAGGCTCCCAGGCGCTGAAGCCTGGCGTGTTTGCAAGGTTGGGTTACAATGAGTGTGACATTGTGCTCGGTACCTGGAACATGGCAGCCCCTCAGAAAAGGCTACATCTCCTCACTATCTCTGTGCAAGGAGCTTTGTCCCCATTGGCAAGATGACACAGTGCTGGCCTAGGCCGGACACTCCAGAATCCACTGCTCCAGGGGCATTTCTTCCATGGAAAAGCAGCCAGCGATAGGCAGAAATCCAGCAGCGACAAGAGGCCACCAAGGGAGCCTACTGGGACTACCCAGCTTCTACCCATGGCTTGTCTCCAAGGCCACTCTCTGGACTTGATGAAAGCGTACCCAGCCATGTTGTTGACCACCTGCCAGATGCAACTGCATACGCTGATCATCCCCTTCCAGCCTCACCACTATCCTCGGTGGCTCTGTAAAATGGGCACATTTCACAGTGAGAGAACACTGAGACTCTGAGAGGTAGAGTGAGTTACTAAAAGGTCACATAGCCTAAGAGTGACAGAAGTGGGATTCCAACCCAGACTGTGACTCCAGAGCCAGGCCCTTTGACACTTGCAATACTGCCTCCAAATTCGGCTGTTCTTGTCCAGCTCCTAGAGCTGCCCAGCACGTGGGCTCAGCCTCAGCCCAGCAGCCTCCTGGGAGTTTCAGCCTCCATGGGCCTAACGTGGCTCCCCTCCCCCCCACACCCACTGAGCACCATCACACAGCCACAGTCCCCGGGCCAGGCCCGGGGAGGCTAGGCCAGACCTCCCACCTGCTGCTCCCCAGGCCACCTCCAGGGTCTGGCTCGGCCTGGGATGGAGCTGGGTTCTTGCCTTTCCTCCCCTCCCCTTTCTCTCTTAGGTCAAGTATATCTGCGGCTAGAAGTAACGCAGAATTTAAGAGAATTCATCTGTGTGAAAAACCATCTTTGTGTGAAGATGAAAATGAAGGCAGGGAGAGCTGGAGACAGGGACCTACCCACCAGTCACTTCCCTGTCAATGAAGGATGGATTTGGGCCACGTACCAGTGGCAGAAATGACAAGACACACTGACAGATGGATACAGGGCAAGGAAAAGAGATTCAAGAATGACTCCTCGTTTCTGGGCTGATCAACCAAGTGGGTGGTGCCACTATTGCCAGTGGGGGTGGCTGGGGACCAGGAGGTGGGGGGCTGAGTGTGTCATGCACGGTGGCTCTCAGAGCCAGGAGGGGCTTGATGGGCAGGGGCGTCAGGCCTGGGGAGATGGATTTGGGAGCCAGCGGCTTCGAGGTAGGACTCAGAGCCCAGTGACAGGCTCAGAGCATCTGGGGAAAGAGTAAAGAGGAACAGCCTTGCTTTATGACAATTTGTTGAACGCTATAGTTGTTTTAGACATTTTCCTATATGTGTGGTGTGTTGCTCACTTTAAGACAGTGAAAAGGAGAGTGAGCTGCGGGTGGAAGCCTGGGGCTTCCACATATGGTGGCCACGCCAGGGAGGGGCGGCCAGGCA